CGAATTAAAACAACAATGAAGTATCACCTCACACCTGCCAGAATGGCCACCATCAACAAATCATCAAACAACAAGTGTGGCGAGGGTGTGGAGAAAAGGGGACTCTAATACACTGCTGGTGGGAATGCAGAGTGGTGCAGCCACTATGGAAAACAATATGGTGTTTCCTCAAAAAGTTAAAAGTGGAACTGCCATTTGACCCAGTGATCTCACTTCTAGGAAAATATCCTAAGAAGCCTGACATACCAATCAGAAAGAAATATGTACCCCTATGTTCATAGCAGCACTATTTACAATCACTAAGACCTGGAAACAGCCCAAGTGTCCATCAATAGATGAGTGGATAAAAAAGCAATGGTATATATACATAATGGAGTACTATGCAGCTATAAGAAAGAAAGATCTCTCATCCTTTGAGACAACATGAAGAGACCTGGAGAGTATTATGCTAAGGGAAATAAGCCAGTCAGAGAAACACAGGTATCACAAGATCTCACTTATTTGTGGACTATAACGAACAAAACAAGCTGAGGAACAAAATACACCCAGAGACACGGAAGTGGGGTGCAAACTGACAAACCTCAGAAGAGGTGTGGCTGTGTGGAGAGGGAAGAGATAAACCACAGAACTTATACACATGTATGCGTACACAAGGACATAGTCAATAATACTGGGGGGTGGGGAGTGGCGGGATTGAGAGGAGGGTGTCAATGGGGGAAAAAAGGAGAAACATCTGTAACAAAAAAGTCAACAACAACAGTAAATATATATATATATATATATATATATATATATATATATATATATATATATATCTCGACATGGACATGGTGACAGCCAGAGGGAAAGGGGTTGGGGGGAGGTGACAGTGGGCAAAACAGGGATACATGGGAATGGAAAGAGACTTGATTCTGGGTGGTGAAAGCATGATGCAGGGTGCAGATGATGTTTTACTGAGTGTGCCCCTGAAACCTGTACTGTTTTATTAACCAGTGTTACCCCAATAAATTCAATGATAAAAGAAAACGAAGTTTCTAAGATTAAAAAAAAAGAAATTTCTAAGTTAAAGCCTTGGCTAAAATTAGTTAGAATTGGAGATGATGACTTGCCCTAGGATTTCTTATTATATCACTAGATTAAGTATCTGATGTTAACTGGATTCTACTGCATAAATGCATTTCCTTCTAAATAAAAGTATCTCCAGATTAATAGCAATCCAAGTTGAGCTCCCAAAATACTTTGCAAAAGTGATGGTGGGTTGAAATTTGAGCAATGTTTTAAAGGAAGACTGATCAGTTCAACTCACCCTCTTGACCAAAACTTTGCTTTGGTGTAGACTACCTAGGGCAAGTAACTTCTAACACCCATGGAAGGTGATATTAGCATTAGGGATAGGGAAGCTTGAAGAGAAAATAGAAACATTTACAGAGGAAAAAACAATATCCCCCCCCACCTCCTGCCACTACAAGGAAAATTCTGGTAGTGTAATTTTAGTATAAGAATAGAAAAAATATGGAACATGAAGCTTAAAATTAATTATTTATGAAAAAGAATACATATAATGCTAAAGTCTTTCCTTCCCTCTTTGATAAATATAATGATGGAATATTTTATTATAAAATTATTTATAAAGTCTTTGCATCTGAATAAAATTATATCTTACCTAGTGGTCCAGATGTTTTTGAACAATTATTTAGAGTAGAACGTGGAAGATCTGGAATAACTGTATGGTCAGGTAACTATACCACAAATCTTTCTTATTTTTCACAGTGATTTAAAATAAACACATGCTGTTATTTACCTATTATGACTGATGCTGAAAGGGTACCCTGTCCCGCTTCTATTTTTTAAAAGCACCTTTGTTGAAGTATAGTTTACATAGTATAAAATCCATCTATTATAATGGTACAATTCAATGATTTCTAGTACATTTATAGGGTTGTGCAACCATCACCACAATCCAGTTTTAGAACATTTCCATCATTTCCCAAAATTTCCTTGTGCTCATTTACGGCATATCTTTTATCCTGACCCTAGACCCAGGGGATCACAAATCTACTTTCTATCTCTAAAGATTTGTCTTTTCTGGACATGTCACATGAATGGAATTGTAAAATATGTCGTCTTTTGTGTCTGCTTTCTTTTACTTAGCTAATATTTTTAAGGCTCAACCATGTAGCATATTTTCTCTAAGGGAATTTTAGAATCATTTTGTCAAACAAATTAAAAAAAATACATTCCTGTCAACCAGGTGGAAAGGCCTTTGTTAAACATGGCCATTAATCCCCCTTACTTGTTTCTTGCTTAGGATTCCTCCATCTTTTAAAGCATTTTTGGAGAATTATTTTATATTTAGAACATTTCTGAATGCAACAAACCCACATAAAAGTACAAAAAGTACTTTTTATTTAATAAAAACCTTTAGTTTTCAGGATGCATGAAGATATGGAAATGTAGGATTAGAAAAGCATAACTCATTAAGAAGATGGAAGGGAGGTCAGTCTGGCCTGTATGGCTCAGTGGTTGAGTGTCAAGCTGTGCACCAAGAGGTCACGGTTTCAATTCCTGGTCATGACACATGTCCAGGTTGTGGGCCTGAATCCTAAGTCGGGGGCATGGAGGAGGCGGCCAAATGATGTTCTCTCTCATTGATGTTTCTTTCTCTCTCTCCCTCTCATTTCCTCTCTCTCTAAAATCAATAAATGGAAAAAAAAAAAAAAAAGAAGAAGATAGAAAGGAAGCTAAATAAAGAACGTTCTACATGGTCATAGTTGTAGTCAGTTGGGTTTAGTTTTGCCTTTTGATTTTGTTTTATTTCTCTTTTGCTTGACTTGTATTTTTAAAATAATCACTTTATAACTTTCTGGCTATTACTATAATTGGTATAAACAATATTGCTCTCCATTTTATTTAGACTGTATTGACATCTCATTAGACCAAAGTCATATAACTGATAGCCTCTTATTTGGAACATGATGAGGAAGCAAGAAGAAATACTTAAAGTCAAAAGAACCAAATGATTATAATAAGGCCATGTTCTAAAATGCATGCAGCATACTCATAGGAAGCCATGGCTTTCAGGTGCTCATTGGGAACTTAGGGACTTTGGTTTTATACACAGTTCTGAAAAATTTTATTCTCTCACTGCCCCTAGACAATGAAAAGCAACAGATCATTGAAAAAGAGAGGAAGAGAGAAAGGAGACAGGCAAGCCAGGAGAGATCGGTGCTTAGAGAAGGACTTACTGCTAAGAGTGAGAAACAAGAGCTTGATGGAGGAGGAGACCGAAAATGGACACAGAGGCCTGGGACCATCTGGTGAACTCTGATAGCACCACTGCATTACAGCACAGGAGAGCAAATCATGACTCTATGTCTTTATAAAAAGAAGTTTCCTTATATTTCTTCCAGTCCTTCCTGGAAGAAGGTTGAGCAAAGTAGGGTTTGAGCAGAAGTAGGCTTACAATTGTGAGTATGTGAAACATAGAGTTTATTCCATTATTATTTATTAAATATTGTATTGCCTTCCATATGAACAACTGCAAACTACTTTTGCCCACCCTCTATATTACCGCTATTTAATTAAATTCATAAGTAAATAAGCAGTCAAACAACTTTGATTTGCTATATTCTATTATGAAGGCAGCAGTATATGATAGCTTTTAGACAACTATTAAAATGTTTAGAATTCTTACAGAGAAGAAGACCATGAGACAACAGAGAAGGCTGTGTGAGATTGAAGGCAGAGATTAAAGTGATTCATCACAAACTAGGGAATTCCAAGGATTGCTGGCAACCATAAGAATCTAGGAGAGATCAACACATTACTAGATTTTTACCATGACAAGAATGATCAATCTTAATCCCTAAGGACCTGTTTACTTCCAGTGCGTGGTTTGCTCATGATGAAATTAACCAGGAATGGTGCATTTGATAATGATGAAAAAGAAGAGATGGTTTTTGCATTTGAAGAAGAAGAAATAATCTACATGTGTGCTAATGGAGCAAACACATGTTTGGGGCTCTCAGTTCTGAGGTCTCCAAACCCCAAGTCTCTCACATGCCCTGGGACTTCAATCCTCAAGAGGGGCCAAGGAGCCAACCCTTACCTTTACATCTAAAATCTCATTTTCCTCTCCCAGTTTCTTCCCACAGTAAAAAGAAGATAGGGAAGGGAAACTGTCACATTATTATTCCATGCCTCCCCACCCTGTGGTTGATATAATAAATTCTATGCTTGTTATCCTCTATGCTTTGGTAAGAACTCTGTGCCAAGATTTTAAAATAAAAAATGATAACTTTTCTCTCTCAAGAAACCGACTTAAAATAATGGGCTTGAGCTTTCAGATTGCTGCTTCTCTCATTTTGTAAAAATCCATTCAGAAATGGAGTCTCCTGTATTCTGAGCTTTATCTGATTTCTGCTCCAAAGCAGTGAAAGGAACTGACTAAAGTGGTAAAGGTCTCGAGGCAACAAGAAAATTGTGGCAAATAAAAATCTCTACTGATGTCTCAAAATAATATCTCACTACCATTACATTATATCATGGTGTGACATGGATCTGATACTCCAAATGAATTTCAATTTGGAGTTGGATAGATTAGGAAGGCAAAATTACTTCAGTGCAACTTGTAATAAAGGCCAATAAGATGTATCTGCATTTAAAGGCACGTAGATCTTTTCTCACATGTGATATAATAAGCTGAACATATATATTAGGCTTGGATAAAAGCTTCAGACCACATGTGTTCAATACCTCAGGACACAGAAAAAAAATATTATATCTATTCTGTATATATTCCAGGAAGATTTCACTGCCAAAGTAACAGTTGGGGATAGTTGTCCAGAGGGACTTTAGTAAAAGTCTATTGAAATTTTTTTAAAATAAAGAATCAAAGTAACTGAAGAATGCAGATCCACTGGAAAAGCAGATTATTAATTATTAATTCAGCTCAGATTCAAAAGATGAGTAACCACACTTTTTCTTTGTTTTTTCCTCAGCTGGAAAGGCAGCTAACGATGCAGAATGAAATGAGAGAAAGACAAATGGCCATGCAGATTGCTTGGTCTCGGGAATTCCTCAAATATTTTGGAACATTTTATGGCATTGCAGCCATCTCTTTAACAACTGGGTATGTTTGTTATTTACTTTAAATTTTCTTCTTCTTTTTTTAATCCTCTCCCAAGGATATTTTCTCAAATATCTTCAGACAGAGTGGGAGGGGGAGAGAGAGAAAAACATTGATGTGAGAAGGTTACATCGATTGGTTGCCTTACGCACACCCTGACCAGGGCCAGGGCGAACCACATCCAAAGTACGTGCCCTTGGCTGGAATCAAACTCGAGACTCTTTGGTCCACGGGCTGACGCTCTAACCACTGAGCAAAACCAGCCAGGGCTAGAATTTTCTTAAATAATTTATTTATTTCATCTTTGCCATTATATTATTATTATTAAGTTGTCCAAGATAGGACTTCAGTTCAAATAGTGTATATGTAAACTAAGTAACCCATTATTGCTTAGTCCTCAGAGGTAATTCTGTAGAAACAGGGTAGTACAAGTTAATTCTGCCTTTAGTTTATTAGATTTTCTCTATTCTTTTCTCCATTTTATAAGTTAGAGAACTAATTTGACACCAAGCTAGAATGAGGCTTCTACAAGTTTATCTCTACAGTTCCTAAAAGGGAGATATCGATACTTAACCATTTATCTTTTTAAATATGTTTTTATTGATTTTTTAGAGAGAAAGGAAGGGAAAGAGAAATAGAAACACTGATGTGAAGAAACATCCATTGGCTGCTTCCTGCATGCTCCCTATTGGGGATTAAGCCCACAACCTGGGCATGTGTCCTGACCAGGAATTGAACCGGGACCTCTCAGTCCATGGGATGATGCTCAATCCACTAAGCCACACTGACTGGGCAATACTTAACCATTTATAAAATGAGTAATCTGAGCCTCAACATCAAATACAGATGAGCAAGTCATAGACTCTGCCTGCCCGGAGAATTGCAGAATCTGGTGAGGGGTTATAGGTAAGGAAAGCCTATTTTCAAAGAAGACACAAATGAATTAAGTAACTTTCGAAATGAAGAATATTTACCCTGGCCAGTTTGGTTCAGTGGTTAGAGCGTTGGCCTGCAGACCAAAGAGTCCAGGGTTCGATTCCAGCCAAGGGCGCGTACCTTGGTTGAGGTTCATCCCCAGCCCCGGTTGGGGTCCTGCGGATGGCAGCCAGTCGATGTGTCTCTCTCACATCAATGTTTCTCCCCCTCCCACTCTGTCTGAAGATAAATGTAAAAATATCCTTGAGCGAGGATTTTTTTTAAAAAATATTCTTTCAAAAAGCAGGTAAAAAATTTTTTTTATCGAGTATAGAGATATGTATTTATAGGTCATGTCTTGATATTTATTCTTCTTTGTTCTTGAACCAGAGCAATAAAAAGGAAGAATCCAGCCTTTCTCTTCCCTATTATTCCATTAGGCTTTGTCTTTACCTACCAGTATGACTTGGGCTATGGAACCCTTCTACAAAGAATGAAAGGTAAGTCTTTGATAAACCAGACTCTCTATTTCTGATTCATTATCTTATTAAATTATCCCCTTCTTATGATCCTTTGACTTAGGGAGATTCTGACAAGTCCCTCTCCCTGGTTGTTAAATACAATAATTATTAAAAATTAGCCCTGGCCGGTTTGGCTCAGCGGTTAGAGCGTTGGCCTGCGGTCCGGAGAGACCCGGGTTCGGTTCCCGCTAAGGGCACGTACCTTGGTTGCAGTTTGTCCCCGGCCCTGGTTGGGTCGTGTGGGTGGCAACCACTCGATGTGTCGCTTTCACGTCGATGTTTCTCTCTCTCTCTTTCCCTCTCACTCTATCTGAACAAAATATCGAAAAATGTCCTCGGGTGAGGATAAAAAAAAAAAAAAAAAAAAAAAAAAAAAAAAAAAAAATTAAATTATGTGCCCTGGCCGGTTTGGCTCAGTGGTTGGAGTGCCCGCCTGTGGTACAGAGAGACCCGGGTTCGGTTCCCGCTAAGGGCATGTACCTCGGTTGCAGTTTGTCCCTGGCCCTGGTTGGTCGTGCGGGTGGCAGCCACTCGATGTGTCCCTTCACATCGATGTTTCTCTCTCTCTCTCTTCCTTTCTCTCCCTTCCGCTCTATCTGAACAAAAAATGGAAAAATGTCCTCCGGTGAGGATAAAAAAAAAAAAAAAAAATTAAATTATGTGAGACTGCCAGTCAACATGGCGGCGTAGGTAAACGTGGTATCGCGTCCTCCCACAACTGCATCAAAGTTACAACTAAACTACAGAACAACCATCATTCAAAACCGCCTGAAATCAAGCTGAATGGAAGTCCTACAACTACAGAATTAAAGCAGCAGCCACATCTAGACTGGTAGGAGGGGCGGTGGCGCTATGGGCTGGTCCCACACCCATGTGTGGCGGATGAAAATCAGGAGGACACCTCGGCTGGGAAGGTCCTTCCTGAGGACTGAGGGGTCCCCATCCCACACCAAGTGCCCCGCTCAGGGTTCCAGCGCCAGGAAGAGAATCCCCATAACTTCTGGCTGGAAAAACCAGCGGGAACTGAGGCTCAGGGAAGCTGACTCGGCTAGAGCCCCAGGCAGCGCAGGGACTGATCGGACTCACTCCCTCTAAGCTTAGAGGGGAGGCAGCTCGAGGGGTACCAGAGACATACAGGGAAGAACTGAGCTGTTTGGCACTGGAGCGAGGGCTGGAGAGGGGCCTTTCTCTGGGACAAACGTTCTGTCAGAGGCCTTTGTTCCTTTGGTGAGCCCTTCCCTGGGGCGGCAGACAGCCACCATATCTGAGACTCCAGCAACCTGGCTCACACTGGTAGACCCGCCCTGGTGACTCCCTGAGGCCCCGCCCCACCCAAGTTTCAGGCCCACCCATGCTGTTGCCACTTGCTTAACCATAGGATTGGCCTGTCTTGGATCCTGCTTCAGGTTTTTCCTAAATTCTTTCAAACAAGCAGCATTTGGTCTCAGCTAGCCCCATACTTCTTGTTCAGTAATACACAGAAACAAACACAGGGAGGCAGCCAAAATGAGGAGACAAAGAAACAGGTCCCAGATGAAAGAACAGAATAAAACCCCAGGAAAAGAACTAAGTGAAATGGAGATAAGCAACCTAACAGACGCTGAGTTCAAAATACTGCTTATAAGGATGCTCAATGAACTTAGTGAGAACCTCAGTGAACTTAGTGAGGGCCTCAAGAGCATAAAAAAGGACTAGTCAGAAATGATGGATGCACAGTCATAAATGAAGAAGGCATTAACTGAAATAAAGAATAATTTACACAGATTCAATAGTAGAGTACGTAAATCCAAGAAGCAAACCATCGATTTGGAATATAAGGAAGCAAAAAACGCCCAATCAGAACAGCAAAAAGACAAAAGAATAAAAAAAAATGAGGATAGTGTAAGGAGCCTCTGGGACAACTTCAAGCGTGCCAACATTCACATCTTGGGGGTGCCGGAAGGAGAAGAGCGAGAACAAGAAATTGAAAACCTGTTTCAAACAATAATGGCAGAAAACTTTCCTAACTTGGTGAAGGAAACAGTCATACAAGTCCAGGAAGCACAGAGAGTCTCAAATAAGATGAACCCCAAGAGGCCCACACCAAGACACATCATCATCAAAATGCCAAAGGTTAAATACAAAGAGAGAATCTTAAAAGCAGCAAGAGAAAGGCAGCTAGTTACCTACAAGGGAGTTCCCATAAGGCTATCAGCTGATTTCTCAAAAGAAACTTTGTAGGCCAGAAGGGAGTGACAAGAAATATTCAGAGTGATGAAAAGCAAGAACCTACAACCAAGATTACTCTATCCTGCAAAGTTGTCATTTAGAATCGATGGCCATATAAAGAGTTTCCCAGACAAGAAAAAGTTAAAGGAGTTCATCACCACCAAACCGTTGTTATATGAAATGATGAAGGGTCTTTTTGAAGAAAAAGATAAAATATATGAAAAAACAAAATGGCGATGAATACACATCTATTAACAATGGAATCTACAAACAAAATGAACAGGCAGAACAGAAACATTCTCATAGATACAGAGAACATTTTGTTGGTTTCCAGATGGGAGGGGGGTTGGGGGAATGGGTGAAAAAGGTGAAGGGATTAAGAAGTACAAATTCATTGCTAGACTGACAAACCTCAAAGGGAAAGGGGTTGGGAGGTGGGAAGAAAACAAAGAACTTATATGCATAACCAATGGACACAGATAATAATGTGGGAAAAGGCGGGAGGGAGGTGGGTGTGGGGAGGAGGGGGTCAATGGGGGAAAAATGAGGAACATCTGTAATACATTCTACATTCAACAATAAAGATTTTTTAAAAAAATTAAATTATGTAAAGTTACAATGAAATAAATTACAAAAAAAAACATTAAATTATATTAAAAACAATGGTAAAAAGTACACAGGACTGATCAGTTTCTAATTATTATCCTATAATCTACACTTTTAGGTTATATATATCTACTTTTAAGTTACGAATATTTATTGTATCTGTGTGGCAGAAATGCAGATAAAATATACAAATACAATAAAATACAGATACAATTCTGACTTTAGTAACATCCGTTGTTACCCTGAAGTTGATCGTGGTATAGTATTTACACCACGGAAACCTACAAGTGTCAAATGAAGCCTTCATTTGTATTTTTGTTGATTGTTTAGACCAGGGACTGGCAAACTATGGCCTGTGGGCTGGCTACCTGTTTTTGAAAATAAAGTGTTATTGGAACACAGACATGCCCCCATCATTTCTGAGTTGTCTTTGGCTGCTTTTCCATTACCATGACAGAGCTGAGTCATTGAAACAGAGTTTGCCAACCCATGGTCTACACTTAAGACAGTGAGGAAGGATATGTTATAATACAGATTATGCTTAAAAGTGTGTTGTGTCCATAGCCATTACACTGAGAATAGCTTTAAAATGAGGAGATATTCTCCCAATATTTAAAAACTGTTATCTGATTCAGCAGAGTTGTTCACATCACTCTCAAATAAGTAAAGTTCCAACATATGTCATTGTTTCACTTCTGTCATACTCATTAACATAAATGAAAATGCCAATCATTATTCACATTGGAATTCTAGTCATTCATCAACTGCTACTATAGGTTAGCTGTGACTATAAGAGTTCAGTGAAAACATTCTGTGAGAATCAATTTGCTATATGGAATTTATGATACAATGTATTATACATTTTATTATTTATAAATCGTGCACTACATATATTTTATATAAGTAGCATCTATAATAAACTTATGTATATAACAAACTTATTTACATGTTTTTTCCAGAGAGCTGGCAGTTACCTATTCACTAGCACTGTGGCGTTCTCATGGAACCCTGGCTCTCCCTGCCTAGCAAATAGCACTGCTGCCTCGGACGCCTTTCCTGTCCGGGGAAGAGGGTTTCCCATGGGTCTAGGATATTCATGTCTTCCGAATTCCCACCACTTCTCTGGGAGCTACACTCACATGAGGATCCCTGTGTCCCCACTTTTCGAGCCTTTAACCCATAGAATATTGGAAACAGTATTTTCCCAAGCCTTCATTTTTGCCATCCTGCTGTCTCCTGGGCTATAGGCTCTGTGAGGACTGCTTTGGTATAGAAAAAAAGGGGGCACAGACTTGAGATTAGGAATTAGAACATTTCATTCCTAGGCCTAGGAAGATGGAGGGATTAAATGTCTTAAAAATGCCCATTTGAAAATGGAAATATATTCCCACATAGATACTATGTAAACATGTGCTCTGCAGTCAGGCGTTACTGGTATCATAGTTCAGCTATATTATGGGTTAAACAGTTCTTGTTGATGGCCTAGAAATTGATTTATAGCATTATTACTACAGGAAAATGTATTCTGAGTACTAAAACAATGACCTACAAATTAATTTTTGGAGTATAGTCCTATTTGAATCTGAAAATTAACTGTACACAACTGATTGACTAATGTTAAAACTCATTTCAATAATTCATTTTCACATTACACATCTGCTTAAGGATTCATAAGTTTGAGCTGAACTATGTCTCATTGTTTTACATGGACATTAGTATTGTCAGTGCCTCATAAAAATTATGTGGTATTAAGATATGTCAACTCTATTACACAGTATTCCTTTGAACATATCAGTAATGGAGAGCAAGTTTATTTTCTGGGAACATTTTGACTATATATTTTGGAAGTAATTTTAGTACAGGTCCGTCAGAGTCTACAGAAAACAAAATTTTACACTTTCAAGGCATGTTGTGGACATTTCTTATGAAAAGAAATAATCTTTAGAATTCACCAGGAAACTTACCATATTAGAAACTAGGTTATCACATTTAGCCCTGTTAACGAGTGATGACCGCCAAGATATACAATCCCTGTTTGAATTTATCATCAGTTATTCTGTAAACATATACTGAGATTTGCCATATGCGAGTGAGACATTCTCATATGGAAGCATCTAGTCTTGTCATCAATGGCCTGCCTAATTGTATACAAGTTATAATGATCTTTACTTACTATTTAAGACTGAGGAAAGGAATGTTTGCAGATGGTTGAAATGCTGTTAAAATCTGAAAATTTTAGTCAGCCCATTTGGGTTTGTAGTATAAATTAATTGTGTGCTAGCCTGGCCAGTGTGGCTCAGTGGTTGAGCATAGACCCATGCACCAAGAGGTCACCGGTTCGATTCCCGGTCAGGCACATGCCCAGGTTGTGGGCCAAATCCGCAGTGGGGGGCATGCAGGAGGCAGCCAGTCGATATTCTCTCTCATCAATGTTTCTATCTCTTTCTCCCTCTTCCTTCTTCTCTCTCTAAAATCAATAAAGAAAAAAAATTTTTTTAATTGTGTGCTAAAAGAGAACTTAAACATTTGCCTTCATTACTAAACAGAATTTGTAAAATGTCAATGTGTATTATAACACAATTTTAAAATTAATTTTGCTAATTAGTCTTCAACATTAAAAGTTGGCAAATGTCAATGGGCCTAAGAAATTACTAGCTGTTATCTGAAAGCGGAATTATTTATAAAAATGTATAGATGTGTGTGTATGTATGTATGCAGACTAAAAAATATTTAGTACTATTTGGGGTATTTACATGTTGTTTCAGGTCAAAGTTTAGCTTTCCTAAAAATTTAGAATTTCTAGTAAATTTTATTTCTTTCATGTCACTTATATTAAAAGGCAATAGGAAGAGGACTACCTCAAACCCCTCCAAACACAAGTAATAGTTAGCATCCTGACTTTCCTTCAAGGAAAAAAAAATATATTATTTGGTATGCTTTCTCTACATTCTAAAATGCTGTCTTCTGTCAAATAAAATCCAAGTTATGTGATTTATCTCTCTGTGAGTCTTCAGAACTCACCACTGTATTTCCTTTGGGGGGTCACTTCTGAGGACAATGGGTGAAATATTCAACTGTAAGACTTGAGGGCATCCCACCACACAGTGTTACAGCTTGTCACTGGAACATAGCAAGTAGGTCTTCTCACAAAATGCTGATACTCCTTTGTCACATTGCATATGTCTGTACTTTATTTAAGGTGAAGCTGAGAACATACTGGAAACAGAAAAGAGCAAGTTACAGCTGCCGAAAGGAATGATTACTTTTGAAAGCCTTGAAAAAGCCAGAAGGGAACAAAGTAAATTCTTCATAGACAAATGATATCATGTTTACCCACTGAATCTCAAAACACAAAATTGTTGACCTGAATCATGGTTTTCGCAATTTTTTAAATGCTTAAGATTTTTATATAATGGATTTTTAAAAAAATATTACAATGCAAGATCATTTTTGTTAAGCTATTTTTTAAAATAAAATTTATAACATTCAACAAGAAAGGAGGTACTCTTTTAAATAACTTTCAGATGTCCTATATATGTATATTATAAATATCTAAGTGTAAAATTAATAAACTATATTGTTTTGAATTCCTGAAAGCAAATGTCCTGCTGCTCTCATTTCTCTGTCTCACACATTGAACCATCACATTCAGTCTTTTATTCGGAGGGTGCAGACTCAGACTGCAAAAAATAATCTATAACAAATGTAACTGGAATATAAGTAATCTGAACTCGATACTGTATTTTATAGACTTCAACAATCTTAATATATGCATGTTAAAATGTGATATTTTAGAGACACTAGCCAGAACCTAGATAGTTTTTCTGCTCCACTCTTCTGGGAAAGGTACAAACTCTTGCTGGAAAAATATTATTATATAAGCCCTGTTACTCAGGCATTGTGGTATCTCTTGGCCTTGGAGTGTATCTGTTCTGGGAGAGGGTTGGAAATGCTCCGTTAGATTTGGCCTTGTGGACACCTACAGGAGATTTCAGAAGTACCTTGTATACTACCAAATGTCCAATTTTCAGAGAGTAGTTTCTAATATTCAGGGCTGACTATTTAGCTTCTCTACTGATTTTTCTCCTGGTAACTTTGGGTCACTCTTGGAGCAGTACTTGGGCTTCAGGTATACCAGGAAGCCCAGGCTGTCTAAAAGAAGAGGGGGCTGGGGGTGGGGGGGAGTGAGGGGTGAGAAAGGCCTATAAAATAAGAAAGCCAAGGAAGAGTAGTCTTCATGAAGGGATGGAGCTGACTCAAATGCCTCTCACAGTAAATAGCCCAAGAAAAGCTGCCAGGTTCTATTATTGGCTTGCTTGGGGAAGCTGAGCCCCCAGGGACCAAAGTCACCCAAGGGATCCCCTCACAGGCCTGTTTATTTTGCTGTGCTAACTTGTGTGTCTGGCTACTTGGATGGCAGTAAGAAGTGTGGCTGGAGCAACACAAATGCATCATAACCACTGATAAAAGCAACTGGAAACCTATATCCCACTGATACTCAGTGGTCACTGAGTCTGAGGTTTAGATAACATTTCTGGTTTACAGTTTCTCAGTCCACAAGTGTCATAGGGTGGAATGGTAGATTGCTAACCTCAGTTTATTCTTTCTCTTGGAGGACTTCACCTGTGGTCAGTAGCACTCTGTGGATGATTCTGCTCTGCCTGAACATGAGGGACAGGCAAACCCTGAGCCTGAGCTGGTTTTGACATTTCACTTGGTATTAGGAGGGAGAACAGGGTTTACCATGTGTCTCATGAATTCATGTCCTAGGGAAGACTGGCAATCTGGGATTCTAGCTTGGTGAGGGTTTCAAAAAACTATAAGGAAACAGCTGTTGAAGGTTATGTGAAATTACATGGATTTTGATCAATTGAAATGTGATAAGGAAGGTCTGTGAAAAGCTATCAGGATGTCAGGATAATATGATTGGGCTTTGAGAAATACATGTTTTTCCTTCTCTTCTCAACATTCCCACACCATTAATTTTCTGCTGATGAAGATCTGCCTCAAGTAGAAGGTAGTACCAACTCTATCCACCAAAGTGATTTTGAAAAAGAAGAGGGAGAGAGAGCACTCACATTACAGAAAAACCCAACATGGATTCTGAAATACTCAACAATTTTACATCTTAAAATAGTCTAGAGAAGATTTGGCCTCAGGTATGCTTTTCTTTTCATCTTCCAGGAACTAAGAATTTTGAAAGGAGTCCAACTAATACTACCTATTTCAAACTAGCAATAACAAAAAGACAACTGGGGAATACAATTTGTGCCCCTAGATAGTTACTTCTCTGAATTCAACAGCCATGAGAAACATGGGAAGCTAGACTGACCTCCCACTCAGTTTCCTTGTAAGGACTGAAGGCGAAGGACAATCCTGCCACCTCTGAAATAGCCGGAAAGTCTAACTAGACAGGAAAAGGGTTTTGTTCAGCTATTGACTTTCATAATTATTCTTAGCAATTCAAGCAGAAACATCAATTTCCTACTAGAATAGGAGGTTACAGGAAAAGGAAAAGTTCAAACAGGCTCATGGGTTATAGTTAAGACATTCTGTTCTCCCTCCCATCTCCTTTCCCCCACAGATATTCATGTTTATCTCTTTTAGCTATCTCAGTGTAGAATTTCCCTGAAGCAGATTTTGCACCAATGACTTGAGTGAATCATTGATTTGGGATCTAATCCCAGAAACACTGATGGGGAACTGCAGAAGTAATATATGACACAGAAGAAAGCTAGTAAATGAAGTCTGACCCAGAAAGTGACCTTTGTGGACAACTGGAGCTTAATCCTCCTGAAGCATTCTGGGAAATGGTTTAAAACATCCCCTATCCCCACCTGAGTTATCCCACCCAAGGAGTGAAATTTTCCCAGGACTAAGAGTGTTCAGGCAAAGTGGGCTCTGGAAACCAGAAAAAAACTCAGTCAAGAAATGCAAGTGTTGCCCTGGACGGTTTGGCTCAGTGGTTAGAGCGTTGGCATGTAGAAACCCAGGTTTGGTTCCCGCTAAGGGCACGTACCTCAGTTGCAGTTTGTCCCCAGCCCTGGTTGGGTCATGCGGGTGGGAGCCACTTGATGTGTCCCTTTCATGTCGATGTTTCTCTCTCTCTCTCTTCTTCTCTCTCCCTCCCACTCTAACTGAACAAAAAAATGGAAAAATGTCCTCGGGTGAGGATAAAAGAAAGAAATGCAAGTGTTTAGAAAGTGGAAGTCAGATCAGCTCAAACTGAAATAGTAAGGGCTAATAAGTAGTTGAAAGCAACTCATATTTTAGTTACCAATATTGTTACTTTAACTTTACATCTCTAAGTAACATTCTGGTGTAATTACTTTTTTTTTCATATATGAAGAATCTTACTGCTTTTTTTTTTTTTTTTAATCCTCACCCGAGGACATTTCTGCATTTATCTTTCAGGTACAGCAGGAGGGAGAAAAGGAGAGAGAAACATCGATGTGAGAGAGACACATCGAGTGGTTGCCACCTGCACAACTCCAACTGGGCCGGGGACAAACTGCAACTGAGATATATGCCCTTAGCAGAAACCGAACTCAGGACTCTCTGGTCTGTGGGCCGACGCTCACGCTGTTGAGTCAAACTGGCCAGGGCTTTTATTGCTTTTTTTTGGTATTTCATTCTCTAATTCAAAGGTGATAATTGTGCAAACATTGTATCTCCATTCTCCAGTCTTTGTGGCTAATTGATTTTATGGTTTTGTCTATGTCATTTCTTCACACATGCTCTTGCTTCCATACTTTCTACCAGTAAGGGTACAAATCTGAAAAGATTTTGCCCACATGTAATTCTGTACAATCTGGACTCCTAATAAAGAGATGTAGCTGGAGTATGATGTCTGTGTCTCAGTTTTCTCATCTATGGAACATAAATAATGGTAATATCAAATTATGGATATCTTCTAAGTATCTAATGAGCCTAAAAGAATAAGACCCTTAGAAAAGTTCCTGAAATGTAGTAAGTGAATCGGTGTAATTACTTCTTTTTTTTTTACTTATCTTTATTGTTAAGTGTATTACAGATGTCCCCTCTTTTTTTCCACATTGACTCCCTTCTCCCCAATCCCACCGCCCTCCTACCTTCCCCACGCTATTGTTGGTGTCCATTAGTTATACAGTACCTATATGCATAGAAGTTCTTTGGTTTATCTCATTCCACCGTGCCTCCCCCCTTCCCTTTGAGGTTCATCAGTCTAACCACCAATTTGTACTTCTTAATCCCTTCATCTTTTTCACCCATCCCTCCAGGCCCCGCCCATCTGGCAAGCAACAAAAAGTTCTCTGTATCTATGAGTCTGTTTCTGTTCTGCTTGTTCATTTTGTTTGTAGATTCAATTATTGATAGACATGTATTAATTGCCATTTTATTGTTCGTATTTTTGTTCTTCTTCAAGAAGACCCTTTAACATTTCATATAATACTGGTTTGGTGGTGATGAACTCCTTTAGCTTTCTCTTGTATGGGAAACTCTTGATATGTCCATCGATTCTAAATAATAGCTTTGCAGGATAGAGTAATCTTGGTTGTAGGTCTTTGCTTTTCATTATGCTGAATATCTCTTCCCACTCCTTTCTGGCCTGCAAAGTTTCTTTTGAGAAATCAGCTGACAGTCTTATGGGAACTCCTTTGTAGGTAACAAACTGCTTTTCTCTTGCTGCTTTTAAGATTCTCTCTTTGTATTTAACCTTTGGCATTTTGATGATGATGTGTCTTGGTGTGGACCTCTTAGGGTTCACCTTGTTTGGGATTCTCTGTGCTTCCTGGACTTGTGTGTCTGTTTCCTTCACTAAGTTAGGGAAGTTTTCTGTCATTATTATTTCAAATAGGTTTTAAATTTCTTGCTCTCTCTCTTCTCCATCTGGTACCCCTATGATGCAAATGTTAGCATGCTTGAAGTTGTCCCAGAGGCTCCTTATACTATCTTCATTTTTTTGTATTCTTTTTTTCTTTTTGCTGTTCTGATTAGGTGTTTTGTGCTTCCTTATGTTCCAAATTGATGGTTTGCTTCTTGGCTTTACCCACTCTACTATTGATTCCTGGTAAATTATTCTTTATTTCAGTTAGTGCATCCTTCATTTCTGACTGGTCCTTTTTAAGTTATTGATGTTCTCACTAAGTTCCTTGGAGTTCTCCTTAAGTTCCTTGAAGGTCTCACTAAGTTCCTTGAATGTGTCACTAAGTTCCTTGAGCAACCTTATAACCAGTGTTTTGAACTCTGAATCTGATTGATTGCTCATCTCCATTTTGTTTTGTTCTTTTCCTGGAGTTTTGTTCTTTTCTTTCATTTGGGACATATTTCTTTGTCTCCTCATTTTGGCTGCTTCCCTGTAATTGTTTCTATGTATTAGGTAAAGTTGCTATGTCTCCTAGGCTTCATAGTGTGGCCTATTGTTGTAGGTGTCCTGTAGGATCCAGTAGCACAGCCTCCCTGATCACCCCAGCTGGGCCCTCAAGGGGCATCCCTAGTGTGGACTCTATACCCTTCTATGGTAACTGAGTCTTGATTGCTGTTGACACATCAATGGGAGGGATTTACTCAGGCTGATCAGCAGCAAGGACTGGCTATGCCCACTGACCACTGG